GTTTAGTATTTCTTGAAGAAGACTATCTGGTCTGGTAGGGAAATTTGGAATTTATTATTCGCATCTGCATTTCACATATATAAGATAGTTTATATTTTGATATAAGAAAGTTAGAAATATATGTTGTAAAACAAAAAAAAATGAAGATATATATTTTTATAAATAATTTTGGCGATTTAAACCTAATCGGAATCACCCAAAAAAGAAATACTGTAGAAATTCCTAAAAGGATTCGCTCAAAATGGAAATTCACCCAAAGCAGATGTAATTTATCTTTTTTTGAAAATCACACTAAATTTTTGGTCGATCCTAACAAAGAATGACATGCTTTAAAAAAATAAATTAAAATGTTTTATGTTGAATGATGAACAATACAAAATAAATAATAAAATATTAATAAGCCTATATATGAATGAAATAATTACCTATAAAAATGAAATAAGACAGGTAAAAAGAATCAATTATATTGTTTATTTGTTTGATTGTAAAACATGATTATACTATATAATTCTACAATCTTGTATACATGCAATTTTATTGTAATGCTCCTCTTCAATAGTACATCATATATTTTTATATATTGATATGACTTTAACTTAACTAGTTATAATGGTAGTTAAAAGTATTACATAAATATGTTTTCAAATTGATTTCTGATTTCAAAGTATTTCAATTTTTAAGATTTTTGAGATATCTATTCTATATATAAAAATAATAATGTATTTTCAATTAAAGAATTTATTTGAATAATTAACAAATAGACAATAATTTTGAAGAAAGATTACAAATAGAAGAATCACCATTAATAAATATATAGTAAAACTTAAAGAATTTAAGATAAAAAAAATAGATGAAAAACAAAAAGAAAAATCTAACAAATTAATAAAAGATTATGAAGAAATATTTGCAGAGGAAATACATCAATTGGGAAGGGCTAATATAATTAGATATGAAACAGAAATAGAGAAAAATATTAAACCAATTATATAATAATACTATAGGACAAATCCTGTTAACCAAAAATATATTGATAAGGAGATGCAAAGATTATTGAAGATGGAATTATAAGGAAATTATATAGCTTCTGGACTTCACTGGTAGTATTAATAAAGAAAAAAAAATAGAAACTCAGATTTTGTGTAGATTATAGAAAGTTAAATAATGTAATCAAAAAGGATGCTCACCTCATACTACAAATAGATGATATGTTAGGAACCTTGGGAGAAGCCCGATGGTTTATCACCCTGGATTTAACAAGTGGCTATTGGAAAGTGGAAACAGAAATACAAGACCAACAGAAAATTGATTTTGTTACAAAACAAGGAATATATGAGTTTATAATAATGTCTTTTGAACTAACCAATGTACCAGCCACTTTTCAAAGGTTAATAAATACTGTATTAAATGGAATAATTAATATTGAAGTAATGGTATATTTGAATAATATAATAATTTATTCAAAAACATTTGAATATTAAGGAAAACTGGAAAAGTATTTCAAAAAATTAAAGTAGCAGGACTTAAAATTAAACCAAGCAAATGTGAATTTATGAAAATGGATCTTGCATTTTTAGGACATATAGTAGGAAAAAATAGAATAAAACCAGATTCCAAAAAGATAAATAAAGTAAAAGGTTTTTCAAGACCAACTACAGTAACAAAGATTAGAAGTTTCTTGGAACTTGCTTCATATTATTAAAAATTCATTAAAAACTTTGCACAAATAGCTAGATCAATAAATCAATTAGTAAAGAAAAATGAATGATTTAAATGAACTGAAAAACAAGAGAAGTATTTAAAACATTAAAACAGGCTTTAATAACAACACCAATTCTAAGACATCCAGATTTCAATAGAACACTTTATTTAATGACTGATGGATCTGCAAAAGGATTTAGGGCAATATTAATGCAAATAGATGATGAAGAAAAAGAATATGTAGTAGCTCATACAAGGTCAAAGTATAGGAGAACTAATAAGAATTATAATCCAACAGAATTAGAATTAAATGCAATAGTATAGGCTATGGAAAAGCTTCAATATTACCTAGAATATAAACACTTTGTATTATTAAAAGATCATATAGCAATATAATATTTGAAAAAAAAATAATATAAAGGAAATAAAAAGTTAAATAACAAAGTGAATAGTAAAAGTATTACCATTTGACTTTGAAATAAAAATAGACCTGAAAAAACAAATACAAATGTAGATACCTTATTCTTATTAAGACTATAAAAATAAATGAGAAATTATGTTAACAAATAATCATATATTTAGAAGAGAAAATACTATTGGAATCAGATATATGATGACATAATAGAATATATTGGAACATGTAATATTTGTCAAAGATTTGAAAAACCTAAAGAAATAAACCATTAAACTGATAGACAGAATATAATCATTTGAACAAACACTGGTTAAAATTTATAATAGTACACTTATCAGGTATCCAATAGGTGACAGATAGGTGACAGATAAGTGACAAATAGATCTACTATTTGTTTTGAAGTTTAGCATATCAGATACCTGAAGTGTATACTATACATATATAGTATACCTATTAGTATCCAATATATGTACTATATATGTATAGTATACCTATTGGGTATCTGATATATCAAACTTCAAGATGAATAGTATACCTATTTGTTACCTATCGAGTATTCAATAGGTGTACTATTTATAAATTTTGACCAGTGAAATAAGAATAGATATAGTAGAACCATTATCTGAAACAACAAGAAAAACAAGTATATGGTAGTTATACTTGCATACAAAATTATTTTGAAGCCCCAAAATTGCAATTTTGAAGAAAAAGTCAAAATAGTTTTTTATAGAAGACAAAACTATTTTACTTAAAACCTGAAATTTTTTGACCACCCAGATAAATTCCTTGATTAAAGATATACTTAACTAGGTATTTTTTTTACTTTCATATATAGAATAGATTCTAAGTAAATATCAAAAAAGACAAAATACCCCAAAAATTAGAAATCAATTTTGGGGAACATGTAAAATGGCAGTAGCAATAGAACATCTTACAAAATTGTTAAGTTAGACCTTAGATAAAGCAATAGCAGAAAATGTAGCTAATTTTGTATTTGAAGAAATAATTTGTAAATATAGAATACCAAAGATAATATTAATAGATCAAAGAAGTCACTTTAAAAATAAATTAATAAGTGAATTGTGCAACAAACTTAGAATAAAACATAGACCTTATCATCTCTAAACAAATGAATTAGTGAAAAGATTTAATAGAACATTAACAATCATTTTAACAAAAATATATAATATATTTAATTGGGATTTACATATACCTTCAGTATTATTTACATACAGAACAGTCAAGCATCACTAATAAAATATAAAAGAATCACTGTACTGAATGGTAATTCCTATATTATAGATCAGCTAAAAATAAGTAAAAATCAACTATCCTATTATATCAGATATTACAAATCAGCTAAAATCAGAATTCCTTTTTGGTATGGTTATTCTTTTATATTTGACCTGTGCATTGTACAACTAACACAGGTCAAATATAAAAGAATTGTCTTACATAAATATCAATATACACAAGCTTCAGATATTTATAGTGTTGGAATTATTATGTGGATAATTTCAACAGGAAAAATACCATTTGCTAAAAGAGCATATGATCCAGAATTAGCAGCTGATATTTTCAATGGACTTCGACCAAAAATTAATAGAGACACACCTCAATGTTATGTGGAATTAATGGAAGAATGTTGGCACAAAGATCCAACCAAACGTCCAAATGCTGAAATGATTTTTGATAGATCAGAAGAATGGATTTTAGAATTGATGATTAATAAGGAAACAAAACATTCACTTATGTTTTTGAATGCAAATGAAAAAATGAAAGATGAAGATTTTGAATTATCATCTGCTGAAACTACTCATTCTGAAGCATACCTTACAAGCCATCCTTTACCTTCACTCTCACATATTCAACCTTCTTCTATTTTAAAATTTAATATAAATAAATTGAATTTTAATAATAATTAAGTTAAAATTTATTTGGATTACTTTATGTAATCAAAATTTTAAACAAATTTTCAATTTACATATTTAATAGAAATTTCTTAATTGTAATTTGATTAGTACAGTTTATATTTTTTTGAAAATTTTAGCTATTATTATTTCTATATGTATTGGATAATGTATTTTTATGAAATTAAATAATATATTGTATTATTAACATTTCTAATTTATGCTATTGATTTTCATATAGGGCAACTTTTTACATTTCCTTTTTCAATGACAATTTATTAAAATACTTGGGTTGCAAGCTTACAAATTCTCACACCTTGTAGTGCAAACCATTTTCTCACTTTAATTTATGAACATCTGGAACAATTAAAATCAAAGAATATAATTTAAAGAACACAACATAAAATGATGAATTGAATATTCACTTACCAGTATTAATGATATACAGTATTTAATATCTCCAGTTCCCAGATTTCCAGTACATTCATATACCACAGTTTCATCAACATAAATATAGTTATATGTAAGCATGACATGCCTGTAAAACAAATAAATCATTTCTCATATCCCTATTAGCAATCCTATGTAAGGTAGAAATCCCATCCGGTGATATATTTGCACTTGACAAAAGAAATTTATCATAATTTAGTTAAACCTTAAAATGCGGTAGTCAATGACAATAAATCTATAATAGAAAATCTTTAATAATTGCATACTTTTTCACATTGAATTATATATTCTATGTGGGACTTTGCTTCCTTTCATTTATTGGTGAAAATTGAAACCTTTTACAACGAGATTGAACTGCTGGAATGATCTTAGAAATATAATTACATATAATACAAAATCAAACATTCCTGATATATTTTCAACAACTAAAAAAAGATAACACAAGAAGAGAAAGAAGAAAAAACCGTTAGAATTATCAATAAATTATTCAAAGTCATTCAAAAACATAAAAGCATAAACATTAAAGATCAATTACTTCGTCTTAACGTGTCTTGGGCTGAATTCGTCATTGAGTCAGCTTCATCCAATATAATAAGTTTGAATCCATTGCTATTAAATATAATTTAAAATATTATTATCATCGTTAATCACCATAATATAGTATATCATAAGTATTATAATACCTGAACATTCTTTGCATACTTGCATACGTTTTAATTTTTCCTTTATACCATTGATACCTCGATCATCTGATGCGTTTAACTTTAATTCAAAATAAAGTTTCTCAAATTATATTAATTGAATCTCAATATATATCTCTTATATTTCTTTCACTCAATATATCACTAACTCAATATATCATACACTCTCTAAATATATCTCTAATTATTACTTCCAGAACCATATTATTTCAACTTGAACCATCCGACTATATAATAGAATTATAATGGAATTAAAAAGATATATAAATAAACAATATATATAAATATATATGTACTTGTTGAAACAGCATCCTTTGTGTGAAACAATTTCGTCAAGTGTTTGGGGACGATATTTTTCTACCCTATTTATATATACAGTATATCTACATAATCCAGATTTTGCAAATAATTTAATAGTTTTCTTTGAGCAAAATATTTGAATTTTGTTTTATTCCGAATTAATAAAATTCTCTTTATCTATCTTATGGGCGGATTTATTTAATTTCTAATGACTAAAATAGAAAATTGATAGGCGTTTATAGTTGTTTTTAATTTTTTTTTAAAATGAATCCGCATTAAAAATTTGAATCTTACGAAATAAAATGAAATAATTACCTTGCCAATAGATAACTCTTGTGCTAAGAGGGTATCAAATGTTATACAATCGGGATATTTCTTAAGAAGTGTTAAAAAGTGCAGGACGCAATTCTTTAAGCTCAATTTCTTTGTCAAAAAAAAACGATTAAGTCTACATTAAGTTAACAGATAGTAGTAATTTTGATTTCGTTAAGTGATTGGAGATGCTAGAGACGCAATTTTGTCTCACTATTTGCGATGTTGACTTATATTGTTCTTGGATCGTTAAAACACCGTTAATAGGATACTATTACCGCGAACTAAACCAAGGCAACGTGCACCTCGGGGTTCTATCATATAGAGATCTGGATCAAATGATATTAAGTATTTCTATTTTTCGGATAAATACAACCCATGATGAGCACATTCATCTAATTGTTAAATCTACCAAATCAACATGAAACCAGTTTTAGAAGAAGAAAATGTTGAGTGACGAAGAAATGTGGTCACTATAAATAAATAAATAAATAAATGTTTACAGCACGATAATAAATAAATACAGATTTAAAATCAGTTTTTTTAAAAGTATTGAAGTGTTTTTGTCTTTTTATGCAATTAATGAATATATTATATCATTTTATTTTAAAATAAAATAGAAATTTTAAATTCTCATAAATAAAATAAAATAAAATATTTATACATATTCATTTACTACAAAATAGTTCGATTTTAAAAATATAACTACTATTTAAATTCTATTCTATTCCTCTAAATTCACATCTATCATTACAGTAGTAAAATAATAAAAACGGTAATTATTAACAAATTTTATATAAATAGCAACTTCGCAAAAATAAACAGAAATCTACCTCCCGAAATCAATGAAGAATTAACCTTTTTTTAATTTTAAGCTTATGCAGATTCCGTGCCTATATGATATTTAGATATTCCGTTACAAAGGAATGCAAGAATTTAATGTCACCCTTATAGGCCAAGCCACTTTTCTCTTATGAAAAAATTCAACAACAACAAGAAAAGTCGGAATACTATAGTCTAGCACAGAGAGTAAAATCTTATTAAATTAAAATTAATAATTACTTTCTTACCCAAACTTATACCTAAATATACAATATAAAAGTACATGATATTACAAATATATATTTTATTTTGTTCTAGTCTCTTCTTTATTGAAGACATTCTAAATTTTGTGAATGATTCTTATTATAGAAAGAAAATACATTTACATCAATAATCAATTAATCGTCAATTTTATATCCCATCTCGAAACTATTAATGATATTATTCTTAATTACTTTAGAAATTTACACAAACGCAAATATGGTTATGATAAATATATTATTATATTTAATTATGTATTTTATTCATTTTCTCAAACGCAAACACTTTCGTTTTATAAAAATATTATTGAGATTTCAATATTGTTTTATTTAATTATGTATTATATGATCATTTTTCGCAAACACAACCATTTTAAAACACTTTCGGTTATAAAAAAAAGTTATTTAACTTTATTTTATCATTTTATTCATTTGAGAGATAGTAAATTATCAGTCATCTTTTTTTTCGAAAAGTTAAATCATTTTATTAATTCTAATAAAAATTTATTTTATGAAAATTATCGTGTTAAAAAAAAATATGAAAATGTTTCAATTTTTTTGGGAAATTGCTATTCTAATAATGTGTTTACCTTATTCCCACTCAATCATTTCTTCATCCTTATTTTATGCGTTCTTTAAACGGTCAGTCAATTTATTTTTCATCATTTTTATCACTTTTCTCTTTTTTACATGCAATACAATATTTTTTAATCTTTTTTTTCATATATGTATTATAACAAAATGAACATTTATTTTTTTTTATCTTCTGGCTCATATCATTTTTTTTTTGATTTTCATTTTAAGTGAAAATAATGATAAAATTCATGTGACTATCGGTATTATTTTTTTGAGGATCCTTAAAATGTCCTATGCACCCTATATAAATTAAATTTTTTAAAGTAAACATCACATGATTCATAAAATCGATGGAATCTATACCCCTATAATACGTAATTCTTATTTTTTAAGGAGTTCACAATTGAATTTATCACGTGCTAGCTACTATATTTATATAGGGTCACCCTATTAGGGTGTAAAAGAGTCTATTTTAAGGATACATTTTTTAATTAATCAAAAAAAAAGAAAAAAGACATCCCTGTTTCTGATTGTAATTGTGATATCATAGATGAGATGTGAATTTACTTCACGAGATTTTATCCAAGATTGAAATTTGGATACCTCAATCCAAATTTGAACACACCCATTGTAATAATAATAAATGTATGTGCTGTGCTTCAGATCGACGCTTGGTAAATTTAAAAAGATCTACGTAGGCTGACAGAAATATAAGATATAATAAAAAAAGACGCCTCGATGTCTACCACGATACATTAATTAAGAATAATTAATAAATACATGATAAAAAAAATTCTAGGTCAAGCGAGTAGTTTAATTATGATTATAAAAATATAATAAATTTTTATCGAAATTGCTATTGTCCACTGGATTTACATATCCACACATTAAACATTTTATTTTTATCGTCAGATTTTTTTAAAAAAATGAAGTCATATAATTTTAAAATACCCATTATTAACACTAATTCAGATTAATTGCGATTTTTTAAAAATATAAATATTGTTCAAATTCTATTCTATTTCTCTAAAATTCTCATCTAATCATTACAGTAGAAAATTATAAAAAGACAATAAATATAATAAATTTTTATATGAAATATCTAAAATGAACAACTTTGACACTCTACTTTCAAACATAAACAGAAATTATATACATCCACCTCCCGAAATTGATGAAGTATTAAACTTTTTTAATTTTAAGAAGCCTATGCGGGACCATAGCAGATGTCATGCCTATATGATATTTAAATATTCCGTTACAAAGGAATGCAAGAGAATAGGAGAATTTAATGTTACCCTTATAGGCCAAGCCACTTTTCACTTATGGAAAAATTCCACAACACAAGAAAAGTCAGAATACTATACTTTAGCACAAAGAATAAAATCTCATTAAATTAAAATCGATGAATCACTTTCTTACTCAAACTTATACTTAAATATACATATAAAAGTACATTTATTTAGGTCTCCTCTTTATTGAAGACATTTTAAATTTTCGTGAAAAATTCTTAAAGAAAACAAATTTACATCAATATTCAATTCATCGTGAATTTTATATATTCACTAACTATTAATAATATTATTCTTAATTATTTTAGAAATTTAAACGCACACAAATATGGGTATGATATTAGGGTGATTGTCACCACTAGGCAAAATTACATAATTCCCTTACTCTAACTTTGCCCACGTAAATTTAATTTTACCAATCACTATTGATGAGCTTTAACAATTTTCATGATAAATAAATAATTAATTATGATCATTTCGTTATAAAAAAATTTATTTAGATTTATTATTATTATTTCAATATCGTTTTGTTTAAATGATTAGTAGTCTTTTTCGAAAAGTTAAATTATTTTATTAAACCTAATAAAATTTTATTTTATGAAAATTATGAAAATGGTTTCTTTTGTTTCGGAAAATTACTATTCTAATAATGCGTTTACTTTATTTCCATTCAATCCTTTATTTTATACATTCTTTAAACAGATAGTTAATTTTATTTTTCATTACTTTTATCATTCTTTGCATACAATTTTTTTAACCATTTTCTTTAATATATTATTTTCTATTTTTTTTTTGTTATTATAAAAAAAAAGAATTTTCTTTTTATAACAACTGATTTAGATTTATTTTTCCGATCACAGATGGATGTTAATAACTTACCCCTAGATAATAATTGATAATATTCATGTGACTACCAATATGAAATCATATTGCCCTTGTTATATTATAAAAAAGACACGTCTGAATTTATGAAGTATATCTTAGAAATCATGGGATCAATATTTCATTTTATAATATTTTTATTAATAATAGTAAATTAATATAAATGTGTATTGTTTATAAAAAATAAAATAAAATAATAATAAAAAAACACCTAGATATCTGTCGTGACTCATTAATGGATGAATCTAGTTGTCACAACATGTTATGTATCTTAATTGTAACAACCATCACATTAACCAAAATTTGATTGGCTAATTACAAGTCGTTATATAACACGTTGTCACAAATAATTACGTACTTATAAAAAAATAAAATTATCATAGTAATTGTAACTCAAATATTTTAGTTAAAAATTTTTTTTTAATTAACTACCTATTAACCTTAACCTAATTAATAAAAAAAATTTAAATTGTATATCTTAATGTAATTGGCACCTGAGGTTGTTACATCACAAGTTGTTACAAATACATAATAAAAATACATATATATTTTCGCCCATAACAAATTTTTATAAACATAAATTATATATACTGCCATGCATAAGGAAGTAAGTAATACATTTTAAATTTCGTGAATAATTATTATTATTTTTGCACTATTAGAAAGAAAACACATTTTATCAATAATCAATTCATTCGATCTTAGAATTACTAATGATAGCGATTTACATATATTTTTTCATGTCTATATGTTATTTTTCATGGTTTTATTGGGTAATGATATTATTATTAGTTAGTATTTCTTGAAGGAGATTATCTGGTAGGGAAATTTGAAATTTATTATTAGCATCTATATATAAGATGGTTTATATTTTACCATTAACAAAGTATGATCAAAATTTTGAATGAGGATTATTTACAAATATAAGAAAGTTAGAAATATATTTTGTAAATTTGTAAATAATTTTCCATCACGAACATAAATGTGTATATGTATCCTTCTTAAAAATAAAAAATAAAAATGTTTTATGTTATGAATGATGAATGATATAAAATAAATAATAAAAATAATTTATTAAAAAGAAATAATGACAAAAAAATCCACTACCAATGTAATAATCGCCTATGACTAATGAAAGAAGACGGGTCGGGCAAAGAGAATAATATTATTTGTTTGTAAAATACCGCAACCAGTATAATTGATAGATGTTAAGACGAATGAATATGATGAATGATATAAGAAGAAATTAACATAAGGAACAAATAAAATTTAATAAAAATTTTTCCAAGATAAATTAATATTTATTTTCATTGAAATCGTGACACTAATTTAAATCGTTTCAAATTTCCCCTATAAAAATATATAATAAATTTTTATATAAATAAAATATATAACAAATTTTATAAATATAATATCGTTACACTAATAAAAAGTAATCATATCAATAAACACAGGTAAGGTATATATACTTCAAAAAAATCTATAAACAAAAATATAAAATAACTTCAACTGATTTTAAATTAGAAACTATTTCTAAAAAATATAAATACTCGTCAAATTTTATTCTATTCTTCACTAATCATTACAGTAGGTAAAATTATAAAAGCAGTAATCCTTATAAAAATTAAAAATTTTTATAAATTATCTAAATGAGCAACTTCGAAGAACTACTTGTAAACATAAACCTAAATAATATACATCCACCTCCTGAAATTGATGAAATTTTAAACTTTTTTAATTATAAGAAGCCTATGCGCGACCGTAACAGATGCCATGCCTATATGATATTCAGATATTCCGTTGCAAAGGAATGCAAGAGAATAGGAGAATTTAATGCTATCCTTATAGGCCGAGCCATGAATCACTTATGGAAAAATTCCACAACGCATGAAAAGTTGGAATATTCTAATCTAGCACAGAGAGTAAAGTCCCATTAAATTACTCAAGCTTATTATCTGAATATATAAATGAAGTACGTGATAAATTTACATATATGTCTTCTATTTATTTTTTTAACGACTAACAGAGTCTCCTCTTTTATTTATAAATGATAGTAAATACAAAGTTATATAAATAGAATAAAGATAAATTCTTTCCGACTTGCCGTCACCTGAAAAAAAAAATAATTGATATTTGAATTGAAATACGATTTTTTAAATAATAAATTTTTACTACTTTCTAAGTTAGATCTAAGTTATATATTTACGTCTTTGCTACTATTAACAAATAATTTCTCTTTATTATATTTAATTTTTTTATCAATACCATTCTCTTTTTCTTATTTAATATCTATTCTTTCTTTCGAGCATTTCTACATGCTTGTTAAGATAGCTTTCTTGACGATAGAAGCGTCTTATATTAGTATTCTTGTTTAGATCTTTGGTACAAATGATATTATTCTTAATTATTTTAGAAATTTACATTCAAATATGGCTATGATAATATGTTATTATATTTAATTATGTATTATATGATCGTTTTTCGCAAACACAAACACTTTCGTTATATAAAAATTTCAATATCGTTTTTATTTATTCAAAAGTAATAAATTTATCGTCGTCTTTTTTTTCGTAATAAATCTAATAAAAATTTATTTTATGAAAATTATCAATGATATTAAAAAGTGGAACAGTTTCATTAAATATAAGGACCCAAAAAGTATTTTCAGTTGTTTCGGGAAATTAATCAATCGTTTCTTTAAATTTTTCTTTTTCATCATTTTTACCACTTTTTCACATTTTCAATCTTTTTCTTTATTTTTATATATTATTTTTTCCAAAAATGTAAATTTTTATTGTAATAATAATGATATAATAATATTTTTTAATCTATTTAATTATTATTTATTAATAAAAAAAACATTTCTGAATGCGTGAAGTGTACAAAAAATTCTATACAAATATGTTTTATCTTAGAAAATCATAGGTACAGATTATTTATAATGTTTTATTATTAAGATTCCATAAAAATCAACAACATTTCTATTAATAATAAAAATAATAAAAATAATAAATTAATATAATTGTATATAAAAATATAAAATAACCCTAGATGTCGTGACACATTAACTAGTAAATACATGATAAAGAAAATAATATATCTTCAGAGTATCCGGAGTATCCGCCTTCATTACAAATTTTTATATTCTAAATATCTAAATGAACAATACTTCTAAAATTAAACAGAAACATTATTTTTTCCATAAATGTAAATTTGTTATTATAAAAAAACCAATGTTGATAATTCATGTTCATCCCTTATTGTACGGATGATGATTTTTTAAGATAAAACAAAAAAAAAAATAACAAAAATTCTATTAATAAAATAATAATAATAAAAATATGAATGCATATACAAAAATATAAAATACAAATAAAATAATAATAAAAACGTCTGGGTCCAACTTAGATGTCGTGATACATTAATTAGTAATAATTAATAATTTATAATATTTAATAAAAAAATATATCCCTTCAAAGTATCCACCTTCATAACAAATTTTTATATTCTAAATATCTAAATGAACGACTTTGACATGCTACTTCTAAAAATAAACAGAAACTATTATTTTTTTCATAAATGTAAATTTTTGTTATTATGATAAATCCAATGTTGATAAATATAATATTCATGTACTTATATGTCCGTCCTTTATTGAACTTAATAACAATAATAATAATATTTATATATTTATTTATTTATCTTAGTCCATCATCATCCACAGATTATTTATTAAATTCCACAAAAATTAACAAAATTAAAAATAATTCTATTAATAATAAAAATAATAAATTAATATAAATGTAGATATAAAAATATAAATTACAAATAAAATAATAATAAAAATACCAACATTACATGAATTAATTAAGGGATACATATCAAACTCATTAGTATTTAAAGTTACATCAATGTAGAAATCTAGGGAAAGGGATAGGGAAACAATTATTGAAGGGATGGTCAACTTCAAAGAATACTTAAAAGACCACTGAAAGGAATGATGTGAAAAAGTGACATTATGGGAAACTGAAAATAATATTACAAATAGATTGAAAAGACAAAAAAAAAAAGGAAAAGCAGTTTAAAAAAAGAGGGAAAAATGTTAGAATACAATGACAGTTTAGATTTAGTAGAATCTAATGAAGGGAAATATAATAAATTAGAACAAATAGAAAAAAACACGATGTATAAATTTAGAGTGTGGATTAACTTAGGATGCAAATATAATGATAATTATAGTTATAGATATAATAATTACATCTGATGGGTTTTGGCCATCAGTTCCTGAGGTTACACTTAGGCAATGATGAGTCGGACCGTAAAATCTTTGTTTTTTAGTCAGTTTCAAAATTATCTGATTAGTCATGGCGCATGTCGAACGTAAATCAATTTAATAGTGAGGCGGCACGGAGTCACGGGGATGAATTATCCAGGATAACTGTTTATTCATCCTGGCACAAAAACGTTTTTACGGATGTGTACATATAAATAAATAAATGTTTACAGTATAATAATAGAACCAAAACAATGACCCTGAGAAAATAAAAATTATTCTGTATAAAGTTTTAAAAATGCAATTATACTTCATTTTAATATTTTTAACATTTTTAATATTTTAATATTTCATGACTTCATAATTGACGAAATTACAAATGAACTTTATAATTTATAATTCTTTATAATGCCAGATATAAGAATAATTCTGTAGTAATTTTAAATAATTAATCGGATAATCATAAAAAGATTTTGATTATGAACCTCATTTTTTCAAATGTGATAAAAAAATCATTATTGACGACGCAAAAAAGGACAACAGGGAGGAATCATAAGATCATCTTTTCGAGAAGTTTTTGGTAAATCAGAAAAAACTTTAAATTAAACAAATTCACCGAAGCTTATTTTGTTAAAATTTAATTTACATGTGTGAAATACAGTATATTTTTATAATATTAAATAAAAATTTTTATCCCATAATGTGACTGTGATATGTATTCCGTATATTCTGTATATCAAAAAAAAAGAGATTTTTATTATGTATAATAGAATATATAAAATACTGATAAAAAAAAAAACGACAATAGAGAAAAATAGAGGGAAGTACTTTTTAGAAATGAATATGCTATCATATTACAATTGTTTACTAATGACATTATCGTTATCATCTTTTTCAACATTCAATGCAAGTTATAAAAATATGAAATGCATAAACACCAAAGAAAACTAATTTATAATCTTGTTGAATGGTTCATTATGCTATTTAAAATAAAAAATAATTATAAAGTAAAAAATTGATTCCCTTACAGGATCTTTATTGTTAAAAGAAATGAGATAATTATCAAGTTAATTCTTAAGTACTAATCGGATTCTAAAATTAAAAGATCTGAATTGTTGAATTTGACATGTCTAAGTAAAGCAGGAAGTGTATATAATCCCATTTTTTTTTACAAAACCCTTCATGAAAAGGGTATACAAAAAAAATAGGTCAACCAAAAAATAGTGTTCCAAATTAAAATTAAAAAAAAAAATTTAAAAATATAATTTGAACATAATTCCATAAGCCATAAAAATGCCTTGGTCGATGTAACCGAGGTCGCGGGTTTCTGGGCCAACTTACACTAATTTTCAGAATCTGTGTAAATAAAATCTGGACTTTCTGGAACATACTCAAGTCCTGTATCACTACAATACTCAGTAACACCCAGTTCCCAGGTTGTCATTTCTGTTTTGTCCGTTTCAATTTCATAATTCAAGAATCCAGTATTTTGGATATTCTCAACCATAGACATATTAACATAATTGTATGGAGCTTGCAAAGAACTATTTACTGCTTCAGTAGCAATAAGGTATGAATTTTCCTGCATGTACCTATTGTATGCTAGTTCAGATTGGCGAGGTGCAGGTCTAAGTATGCTTCCAGAACCAGATATTGATTGTGTTGGAGCCGTTGATAAATTTGGAGAAGAGGCGGACAGTCGTGGAGGAGGAGTCGGTTTTTGTACATCCGATCGTCGGATTTCACCCGACCCAAAGGCAGCACTTTCTTCACGTGCCTTAATTTCTTTGGCCTTATAGTTAATATAGACTCCATTGATAAAACATTCCCGATATTTATTAGGAATTGTCCAGGCTTTCTTTCTTGTCGTTCCGTCCTTTCGTTCGCAACGGTGAAAAGCAGGGCATAGGGTTAGGTTATGTCGAATAGCATTCTATAAACATATTATTAATATTATTATTAATAATATATTATTAGTGCAATTCAATAACATTGGGAAGTTTTGTTAATTTTATTATACATACTTTCCAACTTTCATTTTCCGTCTTATAGAATGGATAAGTTTCGGCAATCCATTTACGTATTTCTTTTAACTGACGTTTCTCATCAGGAGAAGCCAAAATAGCTTGACCAATTAAGGACTTATATGTAAATGAAGGCTTAAGCTGATCAACACTTACATTATCATTAGTAATGTAATTATCTCCTTCTTGGTCAACCTAATTTATAAACAAAGCAAATTACTTATATGCGATTCATTTTTTAATAATGACTTTTCCTATTTACGCTAATCGCAATCACGCGTAATTTGTTACCCACAAATTCTGCAATCGCCAAAAGTTGTTACCTCCCACATTATGTAAGTTATTATATTCTTTTAAAATATTAAGTTTTTTTTTTTTTTTGTGTGTAAATGATTCTTATTCTTATACTTACCCTTTGTTCATTCCCAGTAGTCGTAATGCCAGTTTGACCAGAAGTAATTATGGGCATTTGTGAGGCAGTGGTTTGCTGATAATCATATTGAACATTATTCATTTGAAAGTAATAGAGAGAAAAAATTTTGTTAAAAATTTGATTTGAACAAAGAGTAAATTTATAATTTTAGTGATAATATACATTAATTATATTATATTAAGCATATTTTGTTTATTTTTTATTTCAAATGTATGTAAATCGAAAAAAAAAGCCGCCGCTCGAACCATATTAAGTAAAAATCTTAAAAAAATACCTTTAATAGGTTTTGGCGTTTCGGCATTGCATAAGTGACAATAATATTGTCCAATTTGGCATTGATCCAATTTAGTATGGAATTGATCCAATTTCGCATTGCAATAAGTGACCAATTTGGCATTTTGATTCTAATCAAGACGTGCAAACGAATTTCATTGGAAAATAAAATACCCCGATTCCTTCTCATTACGATTTGCCCAAATAACCCGATTCCTTCCAAATTACGATTTGCCCAATAACCCGATTCCTTCCAACTTATAATTGCCCAATAACATATCATTAGAACATCTGATTTACTTGATCAACTCATTTGACTTAAACTAAGATGCATTATCAGTTATAAAAATGTTTATCAGTTATCAACAAAAAATGGCAGACAATTTTCATTAATTATACAAAATAATTATGCACGTCTATATCTTATTAAGTAAAAAAAAAATATCTTATTAAAAACATTGATTAAAAAAATATTTACACCGGATATTATTAAGATGACACCCAAAAATATTATTATTATTATTAATTAAAAAAGAATGCCTTAAAGTAAAGCGTGGTCGTCCTAGCAAACAAGAGCTATTAACGATTTTAAATCTAACCTTATTTATTTATTATTTCAATTTTGTATACTATCCAATTAATTTTTTCATTATCTCGACCGATTTTAAAAATACTAATTTACAAGTTCAACGTTTTATCTGTTTTTAATTTATTTTTATGCCAATGAGCTATTTATTTAAAATATCAAAAACCCAATCATTTCATTTCCTTTACCGATTTTATAAAAGGACTTTTATAAAAAACGAAATTACGATCGTCAAAGAACATCTCATAACTTTTAGGCTTGACATTATGGTTATGGACCTGTGAATCAAAAATTCACACGCGAAAAAAAAAAATGCCAATTTTTTATTTACCCAAAGTGAAAAATATAATTTTTTCTTTCAAAGAAAACACGGTCATTTGCTTTTTTCAAAAACTCAAAACCAATTTATTATTAAAAATTAAAAATTAAAAAATTTATATTTAACATGCTTCAAATTATTTAATTTGCATGATAAAAAATAAAAAATGAGCTTTATTTTTATTAATTTGATGAATTTGGAGAATTTGACTTATGTAAGTAAATCAATATTCATAATTTTTTCATTTTAAATTATCTCCGTGTGTGGTAATCTTTTTTTTCCTTTTGTTTTTTATTGAGCATAACTTTTATTTAAAATAAAGCGATATGTAGCATTATTTTTATTTAAATTGGAATAAATAATTGGACGACTTCGTCGCCTTTTATTGAGGTTTTTTTTTGTCTTGCCTTTTATAGATGGTGTCCAATTTTTTTTTTGGTGGTTTCAATCAATATTAATTTGATGCATTATATTAATTTAATTTTTAAAATAATGCTTTTCGATCTAAAGATTTGATTTTAATATTATCCCAACCGCAGTATCTACTCAAGGTACATGTAATTGGCCTTCTTTGAGCCTCTGTGTATCTAAATTCAGTGAAATACTCGGATGTGTTTTCCTCCTGATACTTTGTTCTTGTTACTCCACAGCATTTACAATGAAATTTTTTTTTTTGCTGAAATCTCATTGTGTTGTTCAACGTAACAGATGGTACTCAGATGACAAGGAAGTCGACCTTTATTATGAATAGTGAAGCGGAGGCATTTTCAGGAGATTTTCAAAAAGAAATAAAAGATTATTTATAATGATTCACTGATCGGTCAATAATAATAAATTATTTTAAATTATTTAAGTAATAATTAAAAATATTCTCATCGAATTATTATTATTAACAATCAAATTTATTTATTAGAAAAAAAGATCACTTGCTTATATGAAGATGTTAAATCTTAATATCACTATCTACTTTTTTATCGAAAAAAAAAAAATTTTAAAAATAAGTTTATGAAATATAACTATATTTAAAGAACAAAAGAAAATTATCTGCAATTATGCTGATATCATTATGTCTAAGATCATGTCTTCGGTAAGCAAATATTTTTAGACGTGGTGGCAAAATATAAATATAAATATACAGTAAATATAAAAAATTGATAAAAATAAAATAAAAATAATAAAAATAAAATGAAGAAAATAAAGATAATACATGTATATATAAATAAACCAAACCAATACGCGCATAATACACACTTTCAAAAAAAAATACTTATCCGAAAATGTATCTACTGTATTTTAATAGAATCGCGCGTGTTCATTTCTGATGTGTACAATATAACTTATAAAGGTAAAAAACGGTTTCACAAAATCGATTGTTTTTTAGGCCAAGGATTTTTTTTTTGTAATACCAAAATATTTTGGTTTCTATTTTTTTTTTTAACACGACTTTTTCGGTTAAGACAAAAATTCTAATAATAATATTTATTTTTTCTTTTATTAATTATTTGTTTACAATTTTATAGGAATTATTAAATATAATTTGTATCTTTGTTACACTATTATTTTGCATTGTCATTTATATTTAAAATCTAGTTATTTTTTGTTGTTTTTTTTATACTCTTACAAATAGGACAAACATACTGTATATGTAAATATATTATAAGATTATCAATTATTAAAAAAAGTTAATAATCATGCAGCTAATTATTTATCTACTGCTAAATTCAATTTCGAAAACATAAATATTGTCCAAATCCCTTATTCTAATAAAATTATAAATATAATAAAATATCTAAAATGAACAACTTTGACATGTTACTTTTACGATTTTTAATGTGTTGTAGTCTCTTAAAATTAAACGATTTTAAAAGGAGACCCCCAAGTGCACAGACCCGTGATATTGAAAAGCCAGCTGTAAACTTTTTGTCGCCAAGATCTATTATAGCTTTTTTTTAGTGTGAGCCCTTGGCTTTTGTGCACTGTAACAGCCTATCCAAGACGAATAGGAATTTGCAGTCGCGAACATGTTATTCCAGATCTACTTTCCCATGAAGGACAACATAATAAAGGATAACAAGATCGTCTTGTCGAGAAATTTAGTAGAAAAAACTGATGTGATTTAAATTAACCAAATTCGATCGTCAATAAATTTCATACAAAAAACAAGCATGCAAAAATAAAATTCTTCAAACGCATTTTTTGTGATCTTTATATTTTCCATATGCAGAGTCTGTACTGCAGACCCATTTTGGTATGTTTAAAAATAAACAAATAAATATAATGTTAAAAATTTCGCACTATATCTTATTTGTTTTGTATATCTTTCTGCTGAATAATATAATAATACTAATTGAAAATTCTTTAATGTGGTGAAAATAAAAACATGCAGTTTGATTTTGAAGTAATAGTTTGTTCATATTATTATTTATTTAACATTAATGTAGCATGTGAGTTCATTAGACAATATGTCTAAGGGTTTAACTGATCTGGCCAATACTGTAAAAGGGTTAGGAACTAGAGTCCATGGTATAAGTGGATGTTTGGACCATATACAGTCTGGAAACCAAGACAGACATTATCCAAAAACTAATTGGGGAGGTGCATAGGGTTTCATGTAATTTCTTGCTCTAAAAATTAGTTTTAATATTAGTGGATATGGATATTTATCTACTATTAATTTTCTATTTAAATTTTTTCTGTACAAATGTTAGTGTACAGTTCCCTAATCTATAGCTCCTCGATGGGTTAGTATTCCTTTCCAGCAACTTTTTGCTCAGATTG